AAAATACTTGACGGAACAGAGGTGGGAATGACCGACCGGTTCCATATCTGTCATGTTGCCATCCCCACACCGAGGTGTCTACTGTATCCCCTAACATGATAGATCGCAAAAGAGAGTGTTTTACCTATCAATCTCTTTCATTTACTTATAGTGCTTGGTCTCGTTAATGAATCTCAATCACGAGATTAAGAAACGCACTTAATATAGTCTATGAACATCTCTCTCTGTGGCCACCACTCAACTTATCACTTAGAAACAAGACATAATTTAATTATAAGCTCGTAGACTTCCTACCCAAAAGTGCTTGTACACGCAGTAAACATTTGTTAGTCACTAAATTCTATGACAAAAGTAGAAGAGGGTCACATTTTAAACTTTATCATGTCTGCCTCGTCTATCACAATAATTGCACGAAAAGAATCTCACGTGAAATGAGACTATAAATTATAAATAAAAAATGTTAATGAAAAATAATCTCACATGGAATGAGATAATAAATCGATGTTGGTTCCAGAGTTCACAAAGAACACAATTTAAACAAGTAAATCGAGAAAAATAAAGAACAGCACAAAGGATTTTTCACTCAAAAGGATCCGGATGTTCAGTCTTCGGCCTACTCACCCGTTGAGCATCCACACAAAGGAATTAAGCTCTAGTTCACTAAAAATCACCAAGAAACAGATTACAATGTATGATTTTTTCAGTTTGTTCTAGCCTCAAAATCACTTAGAATACACAGTCTCACAAAGTATAGATCAAGTGCCCTCACTGTCTTATCACTAAGAAATATACAAAAATCATTCAAATTTACAAAACGACAAAAAGAAGGAGATGAACCCTAATCACACAAATGAACCCTAATCACACAGAGAGAACTCTCTCAAAAGCACTGAACAGTTGCCACGAAATGAAGCTTCGAGAATCACTATAAGATGGGGAGATCAAACTTCTTCATCAACGGTGAGAATCTGTCCAAGTGTAGGGCCAGATCACAGAGCCAGAGGAAATAAGTTATGGGCCAAAGAAACCGACACAGCACAGGCCAACACAACCAATTGGGCCAAAGAATTATGAGGCAGCCCACAACATAACAATCGAAAGGATAAGTTTAATGAAAAACAATCATACGTGAATTAAGATAATAAATTGTTAAAGAGTAAACCTCACGTCGACATCATGGTATGTGACACGTGAGGAAACGTTTTTTATTGCATATAAAATACTTGTTGATAATGAGAAAACTCAAATAATTCGTCACGGCATTCCATGAACTCTATGATGATGTTCATGGACAACTTTAATATAATCAATATTTCATTTGAAAAAATGTAGGTACATCCAAAGGGTACATACAAATAGTTTTCTTCTTCAATTAGAAGTGATTTCATGTTCTCGTTTTAAATTATTATTGAAAATTTGACGTTTATATCTAGATTGAAACACATGGTTGAATCAAATATGGTAGGAAAAAACAAAAATTTTCGTCGACTATTATTACGTTTATAAATAAATTCCAATCATAACAAGAGTTTTTCTTAATAATTTTTTTGAACGAAATTTATAAATTTCAAAATTTTCTACAAAAGTGTTTTAAGAAATTAATTAATTATTATCCTCGTAAAATGTACAATATCACACCAAATATACACTAATTGGAAATTAAGACTAGTAATTATTAAATTCCAATGCAATCGGACATCATATAACCTTCTCATGCATCTCAACAACAAAAATTCTTATTGTCATAATTTAGTGTACCAAATACACGAGGAATTGTCTTTGTACACGAATACATAATCTCAAATTTAATCTACGACAATTATTGCATTCAATTTTTATTAGGAAATCATATTCACCGCAATATTTTTCTCTTTTGAATCATACACATTGTACTTGAATAAATTTGGACAATTTAGCGCAACGAAACTATGTGTTACCTCGAACCTAAAATAATAATAATAAAAAAGAGGAAATTACACAAAACCCTACTTTTCAAAATCCATATTCAAAAATCAGATCACAAGTTTAACTTTTCAAAAATCAGATATTTCATATTTAATTAAATATTAATTATAAAATTTCCATCCCAGTTAATTTAATCCCAAAC